GTCACTTTTGATCAATTTAATGCATCCTTGCTGAATAAAAGTTTTATTTAATTAAAACAAAAAAGTTACTGACCCCAAACTTTTGAATGTTAGTAAATATAAAATCATTACATTACAACCAGAAGTCTTCTTGCAGACCACTTGTATATCCCACACATACACAGTCTGGCCGTGACGTTCTTCCTCTGCTCTGTGTGTGTGTGTGTGTGTGTGTACAGGTTTTTCTATACTGGTGGGAACTTAAACCTGAATACACACCAACTCATGGGGACTCGGGTTGGGAAACAAGCTTATAAATAATACAGAAGGAGTTTTTTTTATTTTTTTGAGAATGTAAAAATGCAGAAAGGTTCCTGTGGGGGGTAGGTTTAGGTGTAGGATTGGTGTATGGCGAATATACGGTTTGTACAGTATAAAAACCATTACATCTATGGAGAGTCCCCATGTGTGTGTGTGTGTGTGTAAGCGAGTAAGTGTGCGCACTGTAGAATTCTGTGTCAGCATGTTAACTCTGTGTAGCTTTTCTTTGGACTTATTTTTGTCATCATGTTTGTTTGTGCCACCTGACTGTGTCTTCAGGGAGCCTGATGAATGATTGTGAACATTTGACTTACAGTTGTAATATTTGTATGTTGGCTTTTCTCTGTCTGTTTTCTCTCTCTATAGCTGCCTGGTTTCTGTGGTGTACTGATTTTCTAATGGAATTTTTCCTCTCCTCTTTACTTTCTCTTATACAACCACTACTACAGTCTCTCATTGCAGTTTTACATTTATACTGTAGCTTTAGTTAGTTGCACTGCTATGTATGTAAATGGACTGCAGTCAAACAAGTGATTCAGGATTTTTAGTTTTCGTGTCATATAGGTATAGGCATACTTGGTGTGAAGAGTCCTTCACAGCAAATTGACACTGCATTTTTAGCCGTTAAAGGAATGGTTCACCCAAAAATGAAAATGCTGTCATCATTTTGTCACCCTCATGTCATTCCGAACCCAAAATCTGTTATTTTTAGTGGAAAATTAAGAAATAATTTTTCCTTGTCCAAAAAAGACCTTCAGGTCCTGCGGAGCACAACATTTTTATTAAAATTAAAATTTTGATTTGTTCACAAAAAGTTTTATTTATATATTATTTATATACTGTTTTAATATTTATTGATATTTTTTAATTAGCTTTTATTTTTATGTTTTCTGATTTCATTTCTGAATTTACAAACTTACTGTTTTACCAACACCAAAGTTGGTAATTTTCTTTTAAGGTTTTTTTTTTTTACCTAAAATTTATTGGGGAAAAAATATTTTTTAATAGTTAGTTTTTATTAGTTAACAGTAATAACACTACAGGACTTATTGTGCAATTCCAAGCAATACTGAATGATCATAAAGTCTTATGGACTACTTTTTGCAGGGTTCTGTTTTTATCATTTTTAGGAGCTTGACAGTTGTGGTCAATATTAACTATCCTTCTGTAGGATTTCCTAAAAAAAAATCTCTTCGTGTTCCACATAAGATATATAACAGCATAAAGGTTTGGAATAACATTTTTGGATGAACCTTTCCTTTTATCAGTTTACGACTCCTAACATGGAAGCAAAACTGAGTGAGAGCCAACAGCTCAATTACTGCAGTCCATGTATTCAAATTCACAGTCAGTCTGTCTTATCTTGGCTCCATTTTCTCTCTATCTCAACCTTTCTCTCGCTCCACCACTCTTTCCTCTTCTCATTCCTCACTTGCCTCTTTGTTCCATTCTTCTCTGTGTCTTCCTTCGGGTATCTCTGTGTCCATCATTGAACTGTCTCTCTCTGCTGTGTTGTGTGGTACCACAGGTGGGGATCTGCAGACGACCTGCGGTACTCCAGAGGAGGGCGGATGTGAAGACATGGACTGGGAGGAGGAGAGAGAGATGGAGAGACTAGCATGTGAGGGGGATGACTTCATCCCTCCCAAAATTATGGTATGCAGCTTAATTTAAATGTGTTATTTTCTGTTCTTAATGTAATTCAGATTTTAATTTTGTTTAATTTTTAAGTAATTTTATTTCATTTAATTACATTACATTTACAATGTTAATTTAATTTAATAAATCATTTTACATAATTTTGTTTAATTTTCACTGTAATTTACTTGTACTTTAATTAAATTCAAAATGTAAATTCAACTCTGAGTGGTGACCATTTTTATTTCTGTCACTTAAGTAATTTTATTTAATCAAATTTATAATGTTAATTTAATTTATTATGATTTATTTTAAATTCAATTAAAAGAAATTAAAATTCAATTCTTAATGGTGAACATTTCTGTCACTTTTGTATCCTTTAGCTGATCTCGTCTAAAGTTCCTAAAGCAGAATATGTTCCCAACATCATTCGAAGGGGCGATACATCTATTATACCCATACTTTATGTAAGTCAAGCCAGTCTTCACTCTATATCACACAGTGTTACATAACACATCATCCAGATATCCGTTTTGGCCATTTACAATAAAACAAATTTGTAGAGTTAGTGGATTTTCACCGAAAAGAAACTTGAAACACAAAGCTAATGCTTTGACCTGTGCAGTAGAACCAAAATCACTCTATAGGATGTGATACAAGAGGACACTTCACAAAATACTGTCCAGAGGTTTAAACACACAAGTGATGACCAAATTGATAGCAAACACAATAGCAGATGACAACACGTCCTCAACAGCACAAAGAAAAGCAGGAGCCAGTAATGTTATCTGGACCGAATGAGTGTTTATTAGAGATTAGAGACATTAAGCATGATATAAAGCACATTTTCCCTTCAGAATGAGTCTTATCTGTGTGTTTGTATTGATTGTTTTCATTATTTTTATCTCCAGGATCATGAGCATGCAACGTTTGATGATATTTTGGGTATGTAGCTTCATGTGTGTGTGTGTTGTTTGTTGATGTGTGCTTGCTGGATGCAGTGTGATTTTTTTTGTGTGTGTGTTTGAGCACTTTACCCCTTGCCTGGTTATTTCATTGTGGAATGATGGTGGGCTTTGTATTGGTTTTTGCACTAACCAGCATGAGAAGCACAAAAACAATTGAATTCCTGATAAATTACAATGGATCAGAGAAGTGCCTATATATGACTGTTTTACAACAGTGACTCTGTAAAATCTGTGGTGATCAAGTTTTATTCAGCGTGTTTTGGAGTCTAACAGAATCAGAAATTCATAAATGAACTTCATTCTTCCTTTTAAATGCCAATGGGTAGTTATGCTAATTAATAATATTGATTGTTTGTCCATTTGTTTGTGCACGACCTTTGTTTGTGCATGCTTGTTTGTGCACGACGGAGAGCTGACCCAGCCCAATCAACCCCAATCTGTCAGTGGATCACCAGATGCACCGATACCATTTCTTCAGAACCGATACCGATCCGATACCAGCACAATTTCTGTGTGCTGTGTGCTGACCTGATCATCACTCTTTTGTGTGTTAAACACAATCTACTAAATATAGACAACTTCATTTTAAAGAAAAATAACAAATGAAAAAATATATAATTATAATTTATAACAAAAATACTATTATAAACTAGGTTAGTGGATCATTCGGAAGCAAAAGTTACTCTAGAAAAATCATGAGTGTACAATAATTTTATAAAATCTAAACATTTAGTGAAAAAACATTCTTTTGTGGGGAACAACTAAGAGTGAATACGTGTAGGACTAAATCTGGTAAAATGTTACACATTCATGAAAAGCAAGTAAATATAATAAAAATGTTAATAAAAGACATTACTTTTAAATGTATAGAAAAGTAATGAGGCAGCAACATATGATAGATATGACAGAACAAGAAAGGCCATTAAAAGCGTGTGAAGTACAATTTATTCATAGTGCTCTCTACTACATTGTTGTGATCTAACAGTAACATGATTTAGAAATAGCACTAAACTCCAGCAAGATAATGTCATTTTATGCAAAACCATTGATCTTTATTTACAGATCAAGTATAATTATAAAAACATTGAATCATCTTGTTAGGGATGCGCCGATCTGATACTCCGTATCCGATACTGCAAAAGACCCCTCTCACAAGCTCCTGAAATTTGCAGATGACACTACCATCATTGGCCTCATACACAACGGAGACGAGTCTGCTTAGAGACAGGAGGTTAAAGAGCTGGCTGTCTGGTGCAGTCTTAGCAACCTGGAGCTGAACACGCTCAAAACAGTGAAGATGATCGTGGACTTCAGGGGGAACCTGGTTATTCTCACCCCCCACTCACCATCATAAACAGCACTGTGGCAGCAGTGGAGTCATTCAGGTTCCTGGGCACCACCATCTCTCAGGAACTGAAGTGGGACACTCACATAGACTCCATTGCTAAAAAGGCCCAGCAGAGGTTGTATTTCCTTCGCCAGCTGAGGAAGTTCAACCTGCCACAGGAGCTGTTGAAACAGTTATACTCGGCCATCATTGAGTCCGTCCTGTGTACATCCATAACTGTCAGGTTTGGTTCAGTTACCAAATCAGACATCAAAAGACTACATCGAACAGTCAGGACTGCTGAGAGGATTATTGGTTCCCGCCTGCCCAACCTCCAAGATCTTTACACTTCCAGAGTGAGGAAAATGGCTAAGAAAATCACTTTGGACCCCACACACCCAGCCCACTCTCTCTTTCAACTGTTGGCGCTACAAAGCACCGACCACCAAAACAGCCAAGCATTTTTTTCTGCCCGAACAATTAAAACTTTCATAACTATACATTGTCCATTATAACTGACACATTTATACATCTGAAAATTGTACATTTGTAAACTACATAAACTGTACACTTGTAAATAACATATCTTATGTTACACGTATATTCATTAAAACAATTATATATGTTTTATATATGTTTTTTCTCTATATTTCTACTTCTGTATTATATTGCATTGTTTAATTTTCTGTTTTTCTTATATTAGTGTTATTTCATCTCTACTGTGTAATTACTATGTACAGTATGTCTACACTATCATGTATGTTTGCACTATGACTGTACTTTCTTCTGCACTGGAAGCTCCTGTCACCAAGACAAATTCCTTGTGTGTGTAAACAATAAACATACTTGTCCATAAAGCTCTTTGTGACATCTGACTTCTGATATAATGTAATAAAATGATGATGAAACTTAATATTTAGGATTTAAAGGACTTGAAAAGTGTATAATATAATGAAAGTTAACTTCAAAAAATAAATAAATATATATAGGGTTTGCATGCAAATCAAAAAAGCAACAATGAAAGAAAACGGTGCTTACACGAGATTTATAAATGATCAGTTTTTTCTTCATGTCTATATAATGTAATATAATATAATATAATAAATGTGATCCTTAGGGAAAAAATATTAATTTAAGGGTTTACGTGCAAATTAATAAAACAACAATATAAGATTATGGTGTTGTATGAGTTTTGGAAATTACCTAATTTTCTTCTTCAGTTACATATTGAATAAGCTGTCAGAAGCGTGATTATAGACCCTTTCATGTAAAGTAAAATTAGGGTAATAGGCAAATAGGTTTTGATCATGCATGTAATGGCACTCAATGTGACTAGCAGTGTGTTTGTTTTGTGTGCAGAGGAGATTGAGAAGAGATTGACAGCCTACAGGAGGGGCTGTAAGATCTGGCGCATGCTGATCTTCTGTCAGGTGAGAGAAGAACAAAGCCAACAAATACACAGAATTACAAGAAATGAGACTGTAAGTGCACCAGAGCGAATCAGCAGTGTCTGTAGGAATAATACTTCACTGCTGTCTCAGTTTGATTATTTGTGTTTGATGTTGCGTAATGGTTGTGTGTTCAGATGGATAAGAATTCACAGCTCTCTCTCTCTCTCTCTCTCTCTCTCTCTCTCTCTCTCTGAGATCAGAGGGCAGTGCTACTGGTCTTCTGTTTCGTTGAGTTTGATGTTATGTAAGGTTTCAAATGTGTAATTTTCTGTCTCAGGGCGGCCCGGGGCACCTGTACCTGCTGAAGAATAAAGTGGCCACTTTTGCCAAGGTCGAGAAAGAGGAAGACATGAGCCAGTGAGTAAGATCCATAGAAAAGCCTTGTCTTGATAATCCTTTAGTGTTTAATAAAAAGAGAACTATTGTCTGAGCGATTCGCTCATGTGTTTGTGGTGTACACGCAGGTTTTGGAAACGTCTGAGCCGGTTTATGAGTAAAGTGAATCCAGAGCCGAACCTGATCCACATTATGGGTTGCTACGTCCTGGGCAATCCGAATGGAGAGAAGGTATTTCAAGTTCTGAAGCAGCAAGTCCACAGTATTTATGCATGCTTGTATCTTGAGTTTCTGCATTATATTTAGAAATGGTCCCTTTGGGGCCTGCTGTGGCCATGTTCAGCTCTCATCTCTTTCGACACAGACATGCACCAGCTCCATCTCTCCATTTTTCTATATAACACCTCTCTTGTCTATCACCATCATGCCTGACAGCATTTTCCCCCTGGTTATGTAACTTAAAATAACCCTTTCCTCTCCAGTACTGAATCTTTCATAGATCTCGAGCTTTCATAGATCTGTGTTTATGCATCAGTGCTCTGTAACCATCTATTCATAGCAATTTGTGAAAGTGTTCTAACTATTTCCTGTTAAGTACACTTTAGTTTCTGGAAATACTTCACATTATCTTCTTTAATGTAATGAATAAACCCAACTTTGACTTTGGCGATTGTTCAAAAGTTGGTCAAAAATTACTGAAGATTTTTGTAATATTGCAAAAGATTTCTATTTCAAATAAAACAATACTTCAAAAATTGTATCACAATTTACACACAAATATTAAGCAGCAAAACAGTTGATAATAATCAGGGTTTCTACTGTTAACTAAAACTAGAACTAAAACCATTAAAAAAAATTGTTACTTAAAATAAATGTTAACTGAAATAAATAAACGAATTCAAAATATTAATAAAAACTAAAATAATACTAAAATAGCAGATAATCATTAGAAATGTTTTTGAGCAACAAATCATCATATTATAATTATTTATTTTAGTATTTATATATAAAAAAACATATTTAAGCGAGTTGCCAAGGCATAACTTTGCGTTTCTTTTAGTTTAAGTACTGAAATAACTAAAACTTAAATAAAAATGAATAAGAACTGTATAGACATATTTAAAAAAAAACTAATAAAAACACAGCAAAATTATTAAAACTTGAACTGAGAGAACTAATTCAAAAAATAATAAAAACTATAATAGTATAGCAATGATTCTAAAATAACACTGACAGTAAATAAGAAATGTTTCTTGAGCACCAAATCAGCATATTAGAATGACACTGAAGACTGGAGTAGTGATGCTGAAAATTCAGCTTTATCATAACAGGAATTAATTACATTTTTAAAAACATTAAAAATCAAAAACAGTTATTTTAAAGCTGCAGTCCGTAACTTTTTTTGGTTAAAAATGATCCGAAATCAATATTTGAGCAAGTACATAACCAGCAAGTGTTCAAAACTATCGCCTTACTTTAGCCCGATTCACAACGGTTAGCTTATAATAATGTTTTCTAATTTGAGTGGTACGGGTAGGTTTTCGCGGGAAATTCGAGCATGGCACTGCGTCATTACGTCACGTCTGTAAACATAAAGAAGTTGTCCCGGCTACTAGACTATCGCATGTGAGGATCCTGCAGGTGGCCGAGCGTTCATAGCCCTTTCTCACAGCAGCTGGAATAATTAAATGTATCATTTTGATGGCGGATTGTAATCCAGAAAGGATTGTGTTTATGAAACACATGTGAATGAAATTAAATTATATTCCAGTTATAAATGTGCTTCTGATTACAGATAGGCTGGGATTACAAAGATTTGTATTTTAAAGAAAACCAGTT